TATATATATATATATATATATATATATATATATATATATATATATATATATATATATATATATATATATATATATATATATATATATATATATATATATTTCCTGAGGCTACTCTCATGGCCTACTGACTCTCAATTTTCTCTAATTTATACTGTAACTGTCTAGCTACACTGTACTCCTGATCTCCACCGCGACATCTTATTCTTTTTACCTTTCTACACTAGAATGGCACGATAGTGGACAATCGATATTTGTTATAGCACAGGAGAAAGAAATGTGCCCATCCACATCCATTCTCCGAAGCCCTTGCTGTCCACATTGATGACATATTGCATCTGCATAGTCACAATCGGTTTCGTGAGCTGCTATGAGTTGTCTTTGGCATCGGTGCCCACAGCCAGTGTAGCGACAGCCAACTACAACATAGAAGCACTCTTGTTGATGCTGTCTTACTGCTGAAAGCTGTCCTTCCCAAGAGCATGTATCTTCGTTTTCGTCATTCCTCTCCGGGCACCTAACTTCTTGATTCTCCAAATATCCTTGAAGATTCAAGATTCGCCTTAGATCTACAGGCAACAGTGGACTCCGATCGTTGGGACAACACCTGTTGTGATGCTCAACCAAGTAGGTTTCGATGCAACTTTTGCAAAAAGCATGTCCTTCGCGACACAATCGTGGTTCCTCTAGAACGTCTTGGCTAAAAGCAATGAACCAAACGTATATGAATTAAACCATGAAAGGAAATAAAATTATAACGCAAAGTGTATGCATGTTAATATTAAAATGTAGTGATTTGCACTTACCAAATTGTACAACACAAGTTATTGTCAATAACAATGTTCAATATGTCCTGTATTTTATCAAAAAATATAACTCAAAGTATTTAATCTGAGAGAGTGATCTTGCATTGACAGCGATAGGTCATTTGAAAAACTCCTTCGTTCAGTATGACGCTTTAATTAAATGTATAATGCCCGACGGCAAAGGCAAGGTATGATGACGAATGACATAAAGCAGAATACCAGATCAGATGGCTACCAACAATAATGAATTTCCTGCAGACTGCACTATGTGCCAAATACATTCTACAACGCATACATACATGCACGCAAGCAAGCAGAATGTCAAACGAAACATTGTAAAATAAAACAAATCAGAAACGCATGAAAGAAAATAATAAGAAATTTAATTATTAATAAGAAAATAATTCATTAGGACGTATTTAAGACATTATATTTTTTTAAATTACACTTTCAAAATATAATTTTGCGACCGATATTCCTGTCAGATTGTCATACCAATTATCGCGCTAATTTATCAGATGCGGAAAGACCAATTAGAAATTTACTCACACGAATAGCTTGACAAGTGACCTGTTCATGTTATTTCAACTTTAATAATAGTAATAGTAGATTTTGAATCCAAATGGAGTCGAAATATCCACCACCAGCATTTGTATCTTGTTTTCGTTAAATAACTCATAATTATCTTGAGTTTGCAAGATGGTATAATATTATTATTCGGAGTACGTTTTTTCTTAATGATGTTCATAATAATAAGTAGATATCCGTCATGGTAATTTACTGCATGTGTCCATGTTTATGCATGCATAACATGAATTGGGGCTTGACTTGGTCGCCTACGCCCAATGTTTATCTGATTGCATGTAGTCGGCATTATTTATTAAACGATTTAATGACAATGATTAAAGGAAATGCTATGTATAGACATGCATGTAGTTCATGATAGCGCCCATGTAATTTACCAACGCATATACATTCGAATAGCGTTAAATCGGGATTATACCGCATCTTGTAATGACTGACCCAGTTTTTAATTTGTAGTGGCGTTAGTACTCACATGCTGTATACATCGCTTCCTGCTCAATATAATAACGCAGCAGATTTTTATTTGCGGAAAATAACTATATTTTTTCTACAGTTTGGGTGCTAATACTTAGGCAGTTTCTGGTTGTAATGCAATTATCTGAAAAATAAGTTCCGCAGGTATCGAGTGAAGGATAAACGTCAAAGTTCGGTTTTTCAGGCATGTTATATGGCATACTCTTCTCCTATTTTAAACAAAGTGAAATCATGCATGTGAATTACAACGAAGATTAGTTCAGCAAATTATTACATGCATGCCAATGTCCAAGTTGCTTCTAAAGGACCTTTTTAAAGATTTTTTCTTAAAATTGAAAACATTTCATTTCATATGACGTTAGCGTAATTCGACACCAATTGCTCGTACGTAGGCTATATGGCAGCACGAAGGGCAATTTGTCCTTTGGATTTGTTCGCAGTGTTATACATTAAGTTTTATACTAATATCTTATTTTCAAACAATCGTCTAATGAAGAAGTAAGTGAGCTGTGAGCACTCATTTTATCCTTTATATTAATTGGTAGATTTATCCAAACCAATATGCAGCTGCGCAGGATGTACAGGTATGCATGTCTCATGCTAGCGCGCGCCATTAGTCTTTATATCTCACTTGTTATTGTGAAATTCTGCATGCACGTTTTATTGCAGAAATTAAAATTCCTCTTAAAATGGCATGTATTGAAATAATGAACAGTATTGTAAAGAATCAAACAAATGTATATAGGCTATCTAAATGTACGTCAGTACGTGCATGTAGATATATCAAACTCAACCATGCAGTGCACATATGATACGCGCCAAAAATGTTAGTATTCTATAACACATTTTCATTAAACTCGTTTTTATCATATTATATATGTGTACATAACTTGTCAAAGTTTTATATGTCATTGCATTTTAAATACAGAAATTGGTGCGGTACAGCCTGCTATAGCAAACCATTCATAGGCTATATAGCTATGCATCGCTACACATAACATCATGATAACACATAACCAATCTATTCCAGTGACTCGCGCAGAAATTAATATAAAATCGCTTGCATGTGTTGTGAAACATGCCGTGAGTGCGAATGCCGAGAACGCATGCATGCAAGTGGTATTTCCTGACAGAACCGCTCAAACAGACCATATTACGTATTTGTTTCTCCTGCGCTCGACAGACTACCAATCATGCATGCAATGTCATTTTAGTATCGACATGCAAATACATTTCTTGTTCATTGATAGATATATAGATAGGGTATCAACAAACTCGGAATATTAGTTTCCTTTTGAAACTCAACATTTAACATAAGCAGTACTGATCATCATACCCAAGATGTGGCCTATATATATATAGCCAATATCCGTTAGAGGTCCTTGCTGAATCACTGGACTCAAAGCTATGCAACAAATAACTCACAATATTCGACTTGATATACTTTAATAAATGCTTACAGGTATAGACGAAATCAGTGACAGAAAGGTTGAGTTTTTATAAATAGTGCATGCTTTTTAAAGTAAATTAGGAGGTTTTTTTAATTGACTGCAAATTTATTTGTTTTTCGTTGTAACTTTTTCTGGACAATATCGAGTGCTCAAACAAATATCAAACAAATTGAAATATCTCGGGAACAAACCATAAAATCAGGAAACTGAGAAATAAGTTACACTATACAGCTTAAAGAGTTATTTCACTTAAGAAAATAAGAAATTTCATTTCATATACACTTTAATAACAATTGTCATGCCAGCAAAGAAAAAATATAGGATATTTTGTTAACTTTGTAAAATCACAATTTCACTGAGTTGTTATTGTGATGTGAGAAAAAGAGTTTAATTGAACTTGCAGTGATATAAATCTTTCCTGGTTTATATTTTATGAATTTATATTTTATGCCGAGTGTTATTCCCGCCATTCCTTTTTTTTCGCTTTTTAGGCTATAACAATATATTCCGAAACAGCTTTCTACTACTCCTTGTCACAGTACTCGTGGTCATTCATGGTCACTTGTGGTCACCTGTGTGCACTTCTAGTCAAGACCGTTAAAGGGTATTGGCAACAAAAAATTTTATTACTTCGTCTGAAAGAGCATGAAAAAATAAGCCGATTGGCCGTTTAATGCTCTATTCTATCTCTTCTAGTTTGGAAGTTATACGCAAAAATGTGCAAAATATAAGTTGCTGATTCAGCACAACGTGTGACGTCATTGGTTGGGTAAGTATGTTTAATGATATTAAACTGAAGCATAGCTCAGTTATTATTGGCTCAAATCAAATGAAATTTTGCATACTGATTGTACATGATGAGACGTATTGAAAAACACTTCTAATTTTGTTGCCAAGGTAACAATGTCGTTCCCAGGCCCCTTGCGCCAATTTTATAAAACAGCTTCATTCATGGTACTTATAAGAATAAAATAATATCAGAAGTATGTGTACCATACCTATGCATGCCGAAAGTTTACTTGCATGATAACAATTCGAAAATGACATACACATAGATAAATGCAACTAGTTATTCAAAATCAGTGTAAGGGGCCTGGGAACGACTGTGTTGCCTTGACAACAAAATTAGAAGTATCTTTCCATGCGTCTCATCATGTACTATCTGTATGCAAAATTTCATTTGATTTGAGCCAATAACAACTGAGCAATGCTTCAGTCTACTATTCAATAAACATACTTACCCAACCAATGACGTCACACGTTGTGCTGAATCAGCAATTTATATTTTGCACATTTTTGCGTATAACTTCGGAACCAGATGAGATAGAATAGAGCAGTAAACGGCCAATCGGCTTATTTTTTCATGCTCTTTCAGATAAAGCAATAAAAATTTTTATTGCCAATGTCCTTTAATTTAATTAAACTCCATTTCCAGCACTATAGGCATATCTTTATCACTATTCAGTTTCGTACCACAAGATACCTATAAGTTTTTAAGACAAAAAGTGGTCTTTGAAGAAATCAACCTTTCGTGTGTCTATAATATTAACTTAATAGATTATGTAATAAAATTTTCCCTAAACTTTCTAACTAAATAACTGCATGTTTATTCGATATTGAACTGTGCCACGAATTAATTATCCCACCCTAGTCATAGACCTTGCTAAATTATATCTTAATTGTTGTGTTTAATTCATAAAGTATTGAGAGGAGGACCGTGATTGTCTGTTAACATTGTTTATAATGTATTTATTTCTTGCAGTTTTAGAATAAAGTGACCCATTTTTTTCGATATTACCTGTATTGTCATTGATTGCGCAGTTAGACTGTCAGAAGCCAAAGGTTTCAATACAGCTTTGTAGGTTAAAGTGCCTATGCAACGAATTTTTCACCTCATTTTTTATTGTTTTTCTAAAAAGTACTGGTGGAGTGATGAGAATTGCCGTTTACAGTTTCGTCATATCTCAACTCATTCTCAAGTTATCACACTTTCTATATTTTGAGTTGTGACGTCACAAGTATGAGTTGAGATAATGGCAATAACAAGAAAGTATGATATCTTGGTGAGTATTTAATAAAATTCAATGAAACCTTGGTACACTTAGTGGGTGCACTCATATGAATATTTTTGGTAGGTCATGTGGTTGTCATGGCAACACACTAGTCCCCAGTCTCTTCTCTTTCTTTCACAGCTTTCCTCCCGTAGACCTCTTGCAAGAGGATGTTTACATATTATGATGGTTTAAACTGATCACAATACCTACACGTATTATAGTAATAAGCGAAAATTGCAGAAATTGCTATTTATTTCGTTGAAAATGGATCATATAGAAATTGGAAGAGAAGGGACTGGGGACGAGTGTGTTGCCATAACAACCACATAAACAAGCCAAATTGTTGACTTTGTTGCACCCACTAAGTGTACCAAGTTTCATTAAATTTTATTAAATACTCACCAAGATATCATACTTTCTTGTTATTGCCATTATCTCAACTCATACTTGTGACGTCACAACTCAAAATATAGAAAGTGCCGATAACTTGAGAATGAGATGAGATATGACGAAACTGTAAACGTCATTCTTCATCACTCCAGCAGTACTTTTTAGAAAAACAATAAAAAATGAGGTGAAAATTTCGTTGCACAGGCACTTTAATTAAGGAAACGTATTGATCCGATCAAACTAAGAAACTCGCAGGCAGAAAATAATTGTTGCTATTCATGTGTGGCAAGTGATAATCAAACACAGCAGATATAATATATCAATATGCTTTAGTGCTAAATACCTCATCCTGTGTTAATATGATTGCTGACATTTACATACCTTACCTAATTAGCACAAAATCTTTGTATTCTAGGAAAGTTATTAGTATTGAAAATTTAACTCTCATGTTTTCAAGTTATAAAATTGCTGCAAATTGCACTGTTGTCGCAGAAAAGTTGCGGTCAAAACCGCGGGGTGTTAACATGCACATTGCAAAAAATCTTGCCGGAAGTTGCAAGTGTCATTGCAAGTTTAATTAAACGGACCTTGTGGATTTTTTTACCGATATTAATCTAAGGAATTCTTGGGCTTGACAATGAGAGCACTCGCTACAAGTCGCACATCACATGTGCTTTTCGTTTGTTACAAAATGTCGTTTAAGATAAAATCGAATCTTTAGGCAAAATAAACATCTGTTTGACAGACTCCGCGTTTTCCACTTTATGCGCCCATTAAGTGGAAAACGCGGAGTCTCGTTAAAATCGAATCTTTATGTAAAATAAACAATTTTTTGACAGACTCCGTACTCCATACTCCGCACTGAGTTTGAGTTTGTGATGTTGTCTGAGTGTGTCCACACCTGGAAAGCTGAAAATAGCACACCTAATGAGTAATGGTGGCCTACCGCTTACATATTAACCACAGAACTATTCTGTGTATTAAGGCAGTAACATACCATTACTACAATTTTAATTTTACAATTGTTTAATTTGTTTTCAAAACTAAAATCTTGAACGTGTTGCGTGAAGTTTAATCTAACTGTAGTATATTTTGACATAGGTTAGAAAAATCTTTTTTCGTTTTTTTTTTCAGTCGGTTTTCGTTTGTACTCTGAACCACCTCCCCCTAGCAATTAACTGAATTATTTTTGTAAAATTGTAACTTAGGTGAGAAAAGTGGCAAAAGAGGGTCTACGTGTTGGATCAAGTTCCTTTTCCAGTTTGGGAGATCCAACGATGGGTTTGTAGTAGCCTTGTTTTGATAAATTGGTAGATAATTTTGAAATTATGGAATATTCCCTTGTTTTAGTTTGACTGAACGAGTGTTGGAGTGACATCAGTTCACCAATGGTTTGAAAACTTTTAGATAAGATTGAAATCATAAATTATTTCTAATTTTTAATTCTATATAGGATTATAAGGTTCCTCCCCCCCCCCCAATATTTTATTATACGTTTGACTGTCTTCAGGCTATGAATGACAAAATTATTGAAATCAATCAAGTGATTTAAATATGAATTGAAATAGAGAATTTTCCAATCAAATATTTAACGATGTGTTGCAGTCCGTTTCTCATGTGTCCGCTTTCTTTATACATTTTTGTATCCAACCATAATCATGTCCAAGTAAGCAAAATTTAAAAAATAAAGTATCGGATAGCATGATAAGGCTTTGCACAGTATAATAACACAATACTGCATCGTGAATACTTACAGACATGAGTATATTGTACTATTTTATGTAGGTGTATATGTAGCCAGGTTTCCTGATATGGTGTCATCGTATTCGATTCCACCCCGAACTTCGAAATACCTGATGGTCTTCAAGATTGCAAAGGTGAAGATCATTATAACTTTTGAACATCCTCTAACAAAAGCAACAGCATCAGTCAGTGTCACAGTCTGGCTGTGGCGCCATGTTTGCTGTGATTAAATGTTTTTAATTTGCCACCCAAAATGGTGGAAGTTGTGACATCACTTGAAAGAGCCCAATAGTCGCCTAACCCTCCTTACTATACATTCATAGGGAAAGCTAAAAGCAGTTGGTGAGAGAACTGGAGATGGATGTGCACTTGAACCTACCCCAAACTATGATGGTCATATATCCAAGTCTTTTCCTTGTGCACACAACGTTTCCTTGGAACAGGCTTTCACATCTTCCCAGGTTGATAAATTATTTGTATTTGACATACAAGGATAGGAATAGTGTTGTCCCACCTTTCTCTAGATAGTATATGTTAAAACGGTGAAATTGGTGAAAGAGGTTTTTACAGAAAATGGTCCAGTCCAGGGCTCGAAATAGCGGCCTGCCAATGGCAATGACCAAAGGCAGGCCATATTTCAGAAATGGCAGGCGAAAGAGAATTTGATCTGCCAAGTTAAAAATAAATGCCAGACGAAATTCTACAAAAACCAAAAGGCGTCCAATGGTTGAGGACACAATCGATTTGCAGTTTGCCATTTTCGGTAAGCGGTTTCCCGTTACGTCAATCTTAAGGTGCCTAATAGTTACAGTAAGGCAAATACATAAATTATGATATGCATGACGAAAATTAACATTTAATCTCTATGTTCACTTCACACCTGAGTGAGACCATTTTGGCAGTTTAAAAATAGAAATGACAGACCATAATTTGACCTGCAAAAAAAATAGTTTGGCAGGCCATATATTTTTTCTATTTCGAGCCCTGGAGTCAAGTCATCCTCTGATGCAATATACATGCACCTTTAATTTAGGTCTCTAAGACAAATTCAGTCTAGTTAGTGTGGGTGCGATATACCTGTATAAGTATTGCGAATGCGGACGTTACTTTCCTTTGCAGTATTATTTTTATGAATTCTCGGATGATGGTGATGATTTACATGCAAAAAGACCAAGACAATGTTGTCCATATGCTGTCATTCAGTTTTCTGTCACATCAAGTCAATCACATCACTCTTTACCAAGAAATGTCTTAACCCAAGACTCGTCCTTACGGAACTTACCAAGTCACGAATCTCGCCATGTCTCGACTCAGCTTGTTCTGTCACGCAACGAAAAGAATAACGTAAGTACAAAGCAAATAGTCTATATATAATAGTAATATAGTTTCTCGTGTCAACTGTCAAGGTTTCTTTATTTTTGCAGCAATATTACGTTTTAAATCATGGATTTTTGTAACTGTTTTATAATTTCCTAAAGACGCATTAACCAAGTATCAAGTCTGTTAGTATGACGCGTGCATGTTCAGTATAATGTATGTAATGATGATGGATTTTCCTTAATTTCTTCACTTCAGAATGATGTTACTCTGATGGGCATGAAATCCATGGTTGATGGTAATTATAGTTGCTTGCTCCCTCTCCGAAACTTTTTTGTTAACGCAGTTATTAACGCATAAAACGGCTATCGAACTTATTAAAAACAAATTTTAGTTTGGGGACCGGGCATTATTTATGGCGGGAGGTTGCATTGAAGAGAAAAGGGTTGGGCAAACAAAATTTTGAGCGAGTAAAAGGTTGGGTAAATGAAAAACAAAACAACTACTCAAGGGTTGGGTAATAAAACAATTATTGTCATTTCCAAAACATGACTCATTCAAATATATTGAAGACTAAAAAGCAATATCAACAGTCGTATGTCAATACAATATATTATTCAATCAGAGGCAAATGGTTTCTCCGAAGAAAGTACATGTGCAGACAACATGAAAATCGCACAAGCAGTTACCAAACTCATGTCGCAGAAGTGGTAAAGGACATGTGTGGCAACTGAACGATATATGATTTTTGAGGTTGGGTAAGAAATATTTTGACTTTTTAATGGCGATCTCAGCAAAATGTTTACCAAGAAAAACATTTTTCTTCGGTGCCAAACAACACCATAAATAATGACCGGTCCCTTATCTAATAAACTTAAATTTTGATACAATCATAAATTTAATACTAATTACTAATACGCGCTAATACAACTAAAATATTTTTCGTAAACATTGTCCCAGGTCGGATGTATGCAAACTATTCAAAACAAGGCAGAACTCTGTGGTCAGGCGTGATCAAGAACAAAGAAAATATTCTTTCCTCGGCTGACTTAATATGTTATTCCAGCGATATTTTACCTATCACTATGTAAGTTGATAAATATTCGAATTTTGATTACATGCAGTTTCAGGGTTTTTTCCCGGATTTTCTCTTGTGTCCGTTTTTGCAGAGAAGATTGAGTTTTATAGCTGAACACCCCCCCCCCACTACTGGGGAGCTGACACTTGTACTCAATATAAATGTAGTTGAGACGGAATGTGTTAAATCAGAGGCACTGAGGGACACTATAAACGGGTTAAAGATGGGGAATGCATAGTTTTTCTTGTGTTGTGAGATGAATTCCAGCCATTTTTTCTTAATTGTCGGGTTTCCAACTGAAAACTAATTTCCACACGTCACGAATTTAACTCAAATAACTTCATTTTTACTGCACTGAAACTTTGGTGAGAAGATTGAGTTTCAAAACTCAATTCAAGATTGAGTTTTTGGGGCCGTTTAACGGTCCTAAAAAATCCCTGAAAAAAGCCTGCCAGTTTATATATTAATAAAATTTAACCTGGTCCAGAGAGGCAGTGAAAGATGGGTATTTGTTGTAACTTTATAAAAATGTATTATGTCGACCTTCCAAATTATGTTTATTTCCTGTAATCCCTGGTTTATACCAGAAGAGGGTCGTCCAACTGGACGAACTTGGGCAAGGGAAAATAGTCCAATGGTAATTTGCAGAGTTTATGTAGTGTACTGGTGTTATGGTCGTCACCTACTGTACAGTACGCTGGCACCATAGATATCTTACTGTATATACACTAGATGGCGCATCTCTTTTAGTAAAATTGAAGCCAAGAACATTCCAGCGGTTACCCCCCATTTGAATAGATGGTGGCCATGTTGGTCGTTCCCACTTGCTAATAAACGCTTAAAAACAACAATAACTTTCATCATTTGAATAGTTTAAAAACGTATTTGGAATAGGGTTAACTTAATGTTTAAGTTCCCTGTTTAAGAAATAGAAAACATACGAATCTTTTCATTTCATGGGAACGACCTGAGACTGCAATCACGGCTTCAATTTTTGAATTGCAGATTAATTAGATGCACTATCTAGTGTATATAAAATATCTATGGCTGGCACAGACCGTTCGAGTTTACAACACAATTTCTGGCATAGAGTCATGCTATGTACAGTATAACGTTTTTACACTAAATTTTTCTGTTGGAAATTTTTCCGCATTTTACTTCGCCAATTTTTTTATCACGAACATACAAAGAAAGAAATAAACTACAATGAAAAATATCTGAAAATGAAAAGGATTCTTTGCTCATTGATATAGTAGTTAGTGCTTTTTAAACTAACATCGATCTCTGTCCGATGTTGCGTTGCAAGTTATACCAAAAATCGCCTCGTGTAACAGTCTATTAGGAAAAACTAATGCTTCATTACCTGAAATGTAGTTAGCGGATTTACGGAAAAAAACCCAAGATGGGATGGTTTGTTTCAAGGCTATTTTCAGTTCAGATCGCACTATTCTACCTAGTTCTGAATACTCCGTCTTGTGTTTACCCTAACACTGAATATCCATCAGGGATGATGCGTTTCTAGTATAAGTCGGGCCAATAATTTAACTGTGACTCATGGAGGACATTTTTATTTCAGCGGAGGAAACATTGATATCAAGGGAAAAGTATCGTTCGAGAAACTTAAGCCATTATTTCCCTCGCCTATTTTTAAACAGTTACCAGCGATTTCATCTAAATGCAAAGGTAAACTTTATTCAGTTTTAAAGTATAGATGATTGATAGGATTATTACTGATTATGTGCTTTGTATTAATCCAAACATTTAATTTTCTAGTTTTTGACGAAGGAACGATGTACCTTTATTGTGAAGTGCGACCGAGAGAAAAGAACAACACCAAATTCGCCAAACTGATTAAATTTTTTCAACACAAAAATCTGGTAAGCTGTTATACTGTGATGCACGAATTGGAAAATATGTAAAAGTATATACAGTACTCTAAACGTACGGTACATAGCTGCGAACATTTTTTATACCTGCTTTACCTTAATTACAGTATGTAATAATTAGAGTTAATTATGTAGTGATTAGAGTTTATATAATAACTACAGTGAAACACGCAATTTGATTGGTCAAAAGCCGTGTAGGATCAGGCTATCCTGCACGAGGAATAAATGTCTTCGCGGGATTTTCGTGGGATTCTCAAAATGTCATTGTTTCACTGTAGTTATTTTATAAAACAATTACCAAATGGTTTTCCAAGCAGGATAGCGTGATCCATACACTTGGGATGTTGCTCGACTTTCCGAAAGTTTCGCGACATCCCTCGTGCATGGATCACGCAATCCTGCACGGAAAACCATTCGGTATTCCTTTAATAGTTGTCTGTTGTGTATATATTTATGTATTTTTCATTTAGGCTGGTGTCGCTGAGTATCCTGATTCAAGTGCGCTTATTTATGTTATTCCAACATCGGATTTCAGCCATCAGTTAGGTATACAAACATAAACAGCCACTTTATATTTTTCTTTTGTCGATGCATAGTGACTCTTCTTTAATTTTTACCAAGGTTTGACAGATCGACATTACCCGAATCTACTCCATGCTGTAATTCTGAAGCGATTACCGAAAGAAGGTATGGTTAGATTTAATGATATAATGTTAAGAGGAAAATTCGATTGAAAACTATATATGCAAATAAATCTTTGCATTTAGTGACGAACTTAAAAACAAACTGCAAGCCGTATTATGTGGGGAAAATCCTTAAGGAAGTAACGTACTTTGCATTACTTTCCTCTACCAGGATAAATTTGTTTGAAAACAATTGTATATATTGAACTGTTCGGCCGTTGTGATTGACTTGACGTATATCTGTTGTTCTGTTCTGTGGGTTTTATGTATGCGACGTCAATTTTCCTTGCGGGTGTTTTGTCTGTTTATACTAGTTCATGATTAAATATTGAACATTGTATCCTAAAGCCGGATGCTAACTTGTTATTGTTTCAACTAAACAGGGACGTCTGAAGGTCGTTTTCCACTAGGCGGAATTTTCCGCGCGGAGCGGAATTTTTCTTTGTCTTGTGATTTCTCGGGTGGAACTAATTAGAAAAGACAAAGAGAAGTTCCGCTTAGTGGAAAACGGCCTTAAGAGCGTGGCTAAATATATTGCTGTCATTGACTGGGCCAGACTGGCGCAATTTGCGTGCTTTGACTAGGTATAGGAGCAATTAATCAATGAAGTAAGAACATCTGCTGTGATTGTAACCCCTTTCTGTTTTGTTTAGACATTCAGTCGTACAAGAAAATGAATAAGATCAGCGCAGACCCTATTACAGAGGCTGCGGTTAGACGAGATATCCGTAAAGAACTGCGAAGAATAGAGATTGAAAAACTAAAGAAACGTGAACAATCTGATAGTTCTTCTAGAGCAAGCAGTGATATGGAGATATCTTCAAGTGATGATAGAGCCGAGTCGGGTGCTGAGAAAAAGAAAACTGAGGTTAAAAACGAAGCGGCTGGGGTAAGTGTTGAGGTTGCCAAGGAGAAAGGTACTGCAGATGCCGTGGTCGGACGCACAGACAGTGAAAGTATTGGCGAGGATATAAATTATTCAATGAAAACAATGCAGATTGAAGGTCAATGCCAAGAGACACATGTTTTATCTGCAGTTAGTGAAATTGTAGATGGAGCGACTGCATCGAAAGATTCTGCTAAAGTGTTAAAGGATATAGAAACCAGTCCGAACAAAAACGATCAACAGAAAATGGCTGATGCTGTTGAGGTTTTCCAATCACCTCCGCCTATTCGAAAACACGCTGCAGTTGTTGCGTTTGATGATACGTTTGATAACATTGTACCTGGGACAAATACAGTAACTCGGCATTTCATGGATCCTCGTTTAGGTTGCAAAACGGATAGATTTCTACTCGCAAGTCCAATTGAAGTTGAACCTTTGTCATCAGATAGTGGTGCTGATACACCAGAACAATCGCCTGTTTTGAGATATCCAAGAACGAATGAAATGTCCGCTGGAGTAGTTCCGCAGTCCGATTCTGTTATGGATGGTACTGTGGAAGGTACAGCGTCCACTGTGATACAAACAGATAAAACTTCTAGTGAGAAGGACAAAGTATCGCGATTATCGTCTCGTCTTATGGCTTTGTTTTCTCAGACTGGAAAGCGACCACCGAAAAGCAGTGCGAGTATTGAAACCAGTTTATCCACTGTTACCTCATCTGTTTCTTCAGCTACTCCAACAAAATCAATGGTATCATCATCATTGCCAGTTGAATTAAAAAATATTACCACAGAGTGTCTGGCAACAACAAGTGCTCATAAGCTGCAAACAGCTACACCGCTGTTAAGCATCCCTCCGGCTACGTTATCCGCATCATCTAATTTCCCTTCTGCAGGCGATGCTACAGTCAGTTCAGGATGTGTGGTTACTGTTGCTAACGACAACAAGGCAACAGTGATTGATATGCAGAGTTCCACCACTTGTGCTTCTCCTACTCATTTGCAGACTTCGTTCGTTACCCTTGGAGGCAGTCGTATATATTCAAATAAAAGTACAGCTCACGGTGAATCGTCCTCAAATTCATGGGGGGAAATTTTAGAAGCGTCATCGGGACTATATCCAGTGTCTTTTCAACAGACTGCAGTCACAAATTCGGCTTCCACATTGTCGTCTTATGCAACTGCCTCAAACGTTAATTCCACGACGACCTATTCAACTAGTCTCAATAATTATGACTCGGAATCACCATTACGACAGATGTGTGTCGCATACCCGTCTGCCGAAGCTTCACTTGAAGTTTCGTCGATTCCTAGTTGTACTAATACTGCAACAACTTCCTTTGTTTTAACTGCTACAGGATCTTTAACGCCTTCTCCTGTGCCTTCAACCTATACGACATTCAATACCGGAACACCTGCTTCCACGGAGTGCGAAACATCCACAGTGCAAGCTACAGTAGAACAATTATACTCATCAGATAGACTTGCATATCCAGCAACAAATACAGCTCGTACGGTAGCAAATACTTCTGAATGGGTAGTGCCCATGGCTATTTCTAAAGAATCCGAAATCCTACCGAAATCGGAACAGTCTCCGCTGTTTACGTCAAATACAAATCTGAAACAAATTATTTCATTCTTCCAAGCCAAAACAGCATCACAATCAACAACAACTACTACGTTTTTAGTATCACCATCTACATCACCATCAAGTACCGTCAATGTTTCAGATGAAGGTAGTACTAATGAGATTAGGGAGGCGGCACTCTCACACAAACCGCAGATGACATGTGGAACAAGTCTGTCAGTTACATCTTCAAGATACGATCGAAAGTTAACCGAAGATTTCCCCCAAGGAAACGAACCCCAGAAAGTACAAACTTCTGATGACGTTGCCACGTTGGAAACAACACAAGATTATGGCCGTGTGGAGTGGTACGATACAGTGGACACGCAATCCTATGATGATGTGCAAGAATTCAGTAGTTCATCACAAACACCAATAATGGGAACATATGAAGCATACAGCAGTGGTATTGTGCCAATATACAGTAGGGATACTGTGCCTGCACAAACACCAGTTACGGGAACATATGAAACATATATTACTGATGCTGTACCTACGCAAACACCAGTTATGGGAACATATGAAACATACAGTAGCGATGCTGTATATACACAAACTCCAGTTACGGGAACATATGAAACATACAGTAGTGATGCTGTAAATACACAAACTCCAGTTACGGGAACATCTTGCGAAGCATACAGTAGTGATACTGTGCCTACACAAACATCAGGAATGGCAAAATTATATGAAAAGTACAGTAGTGGTACCGTGTCTACTCCACGTGCTGTTAATACCCCACCACTTCCTACAGAGGCCCTACCACCACCTCCACCACCACCATTGACCTCATCTTTTTCAGCTGGTTACACCACGGCTTACTCGGGCAACATGAACAAGGATAGTTTATCTTACCTAACTTCGACGGAGCGTGAGGTATATACGTATTCCAATTCTTGTCCAGAGGATCACACTAATCGTGCAGCCCAACCTACATCACATGAAAGCTCTGACTTATATGAGTATGGATTGACATTATCATCTGACCAAGCTACTACCCAGGATGCTAGTGAGTCGTACTTCTGTGATGGAAATACGCCATCAACAGACTCATCTCGATCTAGTACTCCAGTGATCACCATGCAGGAGAAGCAGTTAAAACCAGGGTCGGTTTCTCAGTATTCCCCCACGTCTACTCCCCCTCCTCCGCCACCACCACCTCCACCACCACCACCACCACCACTACTCTGTGTGTACAACAACCCTGTGTTTCACCAAGACAATTACTCTGCAACATATGCACCTTTGTATACACACCCATATTCCGGAATCCAACCAGTACCCATTCCAAACCCCACTTTATCTGAATATCATTATCCTGCTTCAGGAAACACAGGCTACCCAACTTTTCCTTCCTCGTTAACAGCAGATTTTGATAGCACCTCTGGGTTTGGTTATACAAAGCAGATTACACCTTTGTGGAACGAAAGCTCTACTGTTAGAAGTAACGAGGATCAATCTTTAGCGACGAACTTGGACCAACATAAGCATTCAAAATATGTTGCTGAGATATCCAGTGGAGAGATCGTTGATATCAACGGTACGTCGAAACAGGATAAAAGTAGTTCCTCGAAACTTAGCCGTGAGACAGCTGAGAATTTAAGAACTAAAGAAACCGCGTTCCCATGCGGAACGCTTAAGTCCCCCGAAAAGAATTCTAGCAGTTCTCAGACATTATCAGTGGGTAGTAAAGATAATTCCGACCTAAACTTGTTGAAACACGAAGAAATCAGTGGAAGCCGCCAATCAAGGGAAACCAGATCCAGTGGTAGTGGTACACATGCCGACACTATATCCGATGCCAGTCCTTTCCAAATCCAGAAAGATAAAAGCCGTACTCCTGAATCTCCAAGTTCTGTGGACAAAGATGTAACTACTACTACAGACAACGCTGAATCAAGCTTCAAACCAGGTTAGTAAAGTTAAAGTATGGATAGACTGCGGTTGTTTGTGTCTGAATTTAAACATTGCCATCGCTGATAACCTCTTGACGAAGGGGTGTAAGGGCATTGTGGTAGTGCTGTGCAAACTCCGGTTTTTCATATCCGGCTCCGGCCGAATTATAGCTCTGAGCTCCGGCTCCGGCCACATCATAAAATATTAAATAAATGTTTTTTTTATACGATCAGAGAACATTTATTAATATTATTATGAATAACCCTTTTCGCGCTTCCTTCCGAAACAAAACAGTTAAAACACTTAACCACGCAGAAACCAGCCTCGAAAAATCTTTGACAGTGTTGCAATTTTTATATAGCATGACGCGAGGCATGACGCTAACACTCTCAGACTCCACAGCGCAATTGTTCACACGCAAACAAAGTACTCTGTCATTTTCAAAAGGTTGATATTTCTTTCTTTTGTACTTTTTCGTTATCTACAAGGCATGAATACACAGACTATGTAGCGCTAAGTCAGATGGCTTCATGAAAGCATGACGTTTGTAAGTTGCGATCGTATTACAGCTTTTCGACGCTGTTCCTGTGGGCTGTGGCAGTTTGAGTCATTCATGAATTCATTAACAGCAATTGGCAGTTTGCAGTAACTAACAATCGTTTGACATTTGTCTCATTTCATATTGTTTTCTTGTCATTTTGCCGGAGCTGGGAAAACGTAACTCCGGCTCCGGGCTCCGGCATACAAAATTCGGCTCCGGCGTCGGAAAAACTGCCGGAGCTCCGGCAGAACTCCGGCTCCGGCAACTCCGGCGCACAGCACTACATTGTGGTTTTTAAAGTAGTTCAGACACAAACAACGCCGGCCTGTTAGAAAAACCAATAAGTACGTGTTGGTTTGACACTCGCTAGAAAAAAACCACCTCTGCTGAAAAGGTGTTATATCAAGAACCACAACTTACATGCAACAGAGAGGTTCAGATTTTGATTTTCGCCTTTACCCCGCCTTTTGGTAAGCGATTCGTTCTTACTGTCGTAAATACTGTTGATGGATTTTGCATGGACATGCAATTGCAGTACACACACGATTAGGGACCTTATTAATTATGAAGGGCCTTTGTTGTTGTTGTTGTTGTTGCTAGTCTAACATTTTCCTTGCTTGTAATAATTTGGACAAGCGTTACGAACTATAGCTTTCTACCTCTCTCCTCCGCAGAGGCATCCGCTCGTGCTCCAAGATTCGCCATGTAAAGTGTGGTGAAATGTATCTCAATACTAATCGTAATCATAGCCAACTAAAGCCTCTGCGGAGGAGAGAGGCTTTCTGCCAGGTCTTTCTAATTAGAACCATAGCCTTCTACCAGGTCTTTCTAATTAGAACCATAGCATTCTACCAGGTCTTTCTAATTAGAGCCATAGCCTTCTACCAGGTCTATCCAATTTTCAGATCTGGTAGTTAAGCAATTAATTGTGCTGTATATCACAGCTGATTAACCACGTATCTTTTGAGAAATAGTTAACCCTAACCATGATGAAAGGTATGAGATACTGTAGGTACTGTATAGTGTTGTCATACGACTAGCAAAAATACGATCTTACATACATACATACTTTATTGTGTTCCTCAAAGAGGCTTTTCAACACTAATTTACATGGAATGGTGATTAAAAAACAAGGTTAAGATTACATATATAAAAATTTACTAGGAAAAATCTTCTATTATTAAAATAGTCCATTACTAAGAATACAGTCTGTCTAACATGTCTTTCTTTAATTTATTCTTAAAACTTCTCAAAGATGGCATTTGTTTCGTGTTATTGTTCAGATCATTCCATAGTTTCACCCCTTTATAATGAAATGTTCTCTGGCCAGTGGTGGTATTATAAATCGGTATTTGGAGGAGCTTTCAGTTACGTGTGTTACATTCATGTATATTTGATCGTTTACTAAATTTATTGCACAAGTAAGGTGGGGCTAGATTGTTAATACACTTGTGCATCAAAACTGTATCACCATATGAAGATAAAATACATGAATCCACGGCTGTGGAACCATTCTCTTGGAACCATCCGCTTCGGCCGCTTTGCAAACTTAGGCTAACAATGTTTGGACAAAAAGAGCACGCACACACAGCAGTGAACTGTAATAACACTGGAACGCTAACTGCAGATAAACATGCCCATACTTGCCTGAAACCAAAATGGCGCTTCTCGCGAGCACGGCCAGCAATAAATTAACTTTCAAAAGGACTGGGGAGAGTTTCGAGGAGCGGGAAATTCAGTCAAAAGTTTGTTTTTGAGCGAAAATCAGCAAGAAAAAGTACTTTTTTATCAAAAGGCTTCAACTTTAAAGATTCAAACCTGGTTTCCTGGATAGTTCTAAGTATTTTACATCCACTAACAGCAAAAACGTCCTGGGGCTGGGTAACAGCTTGATATTCAAAATATTACACAAGTTTGAACGTGCCGAAAAAAACTTCGCACTTTGACTCCTGAAAAAAGAACTTTATAACTGCTCTACGTTCTGGAAACATGTTTTGTATTAAATTTCAGGTATTGTTGAAAGTTTTTAGCTTTTTTCCTTGTTGAAATACAGCTATTTAGTGGTCGAAAACAGACATCTTTTTGGTGGCGTATTTTCCACTCCATACGTACATGGCGGCCTTCAATTTGGCTTCAAAGATGGCCGACAAGTTATCGTTCCAGTTCCCTTAGAGTTCACTGACACACAGTAAGAATCTCGATTAAAATTCATGGCCTGTTTCTTAGCCAATGAATATTCACCTCAATCTCGATGGCGTTTAATTAAGTAATAATTCCTACGACAGGTATAAAAAAAGCTTGTCCTCTATTTATTCTACTTGTGCCCTTCAAATAAGAAGCAATTAACTAAGAAGCGATGTGAATTATTTAGTTTACAGTGGGTGTTGGATAATAATGCTTCACGAGTAAATAATTTATGAGAGAAGTTAATATATGCGTATGATATTATATGAGCTTGTGTTATAAAGGTAGTATAGGGTATCTATTGTAGAGCTTCCTCAAGACCCCTTGAAAGGAATTGAGATTATGGCAAATAATTCGTCAGAGCTATTGCCTTCTGTTATTTTATGCACCACAAGTGAAGTACGTTTTGCTACTAGTATGGAAGCCATTGCTGCAAAAATTGTTATCACAATTATGTCCATCTTCGTCTCTTTCTTTGGAATATTGGCGAACACTCTTGTCATTGTGGGATACGTTGGCAATCGTCGTTTACGAACTATTCAGAACACGATGTTTTTGTTTCTAGCTATTACTGACGTTGGCGGTACTGCGTTGGCGTTACTGCAGCCAATCTTGAGTGGTTTGTTGGGAAAACGTAGCTGTATTTTATGGGAAATAAACTTTATATTAGGTATTCTGTTCGAAGAATTGTCACTAGTAACCATTGTTATTCTTAGCTTGCAAAGTTATATAACCTTGGCTTATCCGTATCGTTCTCAAAGTATAATTACAAAGTCTCGTGTAATTATAGCATTTTTCGTCTCTTGGCTTCTCGTCTTTATTTCAGCCTTTTTGATTTTTCTACATAAGCCGTTTGCTGGATACATATTCATTTGTATTGTGTGCTTTGCAATAGTCACAGTTGTTTTCACATGGAGCTGGACGTATAAACTCGTTGCTCAACATCGAAATGTTATTGACATCACTCAAACTCCGACAACTCGTCAAAATGTATCGCGTAAGAAGGTCCTAAGATCGACAGTTACCGTTTTTGCTGTTATTTCAAGTCTGCTGGGATGTTATTCCTTTGTTTTGTGCTTATTTTTCTTTCAAATTTTAATAAACCCTTCGACACTTGGTCATGATGCCTATCTGACATTGTCCTCAGTGGCTGTGACATTGATGTACTTGAACTCTCTACTGAATCCTTGTCTTGTATTCTGGCGTTGTGGTAACTTTAGGCAAGCAGTAAAAAACATATTCAATTATAGAAAGGACTAAAAGATATAGCAAACAGCTAGCCTTAGTAGCCAAGCTAAGAAAACTGCAGATGGATAGGAATTGTACAGACCGTTCGAGTTAGCCAAGCTAAGCCTAATTCTTTCAAGAGGCAGATGCATGGTTGATTGTCCGCTGCGTATTTGCAGTTTGTGCTAAAGGCAAACAGGTGTGACTTAGGGCATGTTTATATGATCCCAACTAGGCCAGACGGGACGTTTTCATCCCGCCTAGTCGGAAAACTCGCTTATGGCCGAGACACACCGAACGCGATTCGACAACGCGGCGCGATTTTTCTATTTTCACTCACGTATAACTTTGATCCTCGTTTAGGTTTTTCAAATATTTAGAAGCGCATTAACATTTTGAGTTATTTGGTCTACATATCTTTTAAAATTTCCGTTCATTGGCTGTTTTATTAACTTAAAACTGAAAATCGCGCCGCGTTGTCGAATCGCGTCCGGACGCGTCTCGGCCTTGATTAAGGCAAGATGGCGTGTTTATATGGAAACAGCATTGGGTAATATAGAGGGCGGTTCTAGTGATGTGTCAAGTTTAATTATAAACTATATTTGGGATAATTTGTTGATTAGTTGTTTAAATGCAGTTCCATGGAGTACATGAGAATAATCTGCGAGAGCATAAGTATCACACGAGATTGTGATATTCTCATTTAGTATAAATTTGTTACCACCCGGTATTGTCAAAACGATGACAGATAGCTTGCATGGCAGGTCGGCGTTGAACGGAGAATTAGCACCTGCAAGAAAACCCGGCATTCGTGATTGAACCATCGAGTTATTAATGGCCATTAATCTGTTGTGACTAAACGCCGTTTAATTTTCGCACGTGGAATGTGATTGGTAAATGTCACGAGTTAATTGACATGTTTACACAACAGCGAATACATTATTATTGGGTGTTTGTAAAACCCGAAACACACCCGGAACCCTGCTAAGTATATAGTCCAAGAAGTTTTGCTCGAGTATTTGCACGTGCTTTTAACAAATTTCGCACTATATGACATTGATGAATTATTGTGATGTTGTCAGGTTTACACCTTTCTACTACAGATTTGGATTGTTACCTTTTGTTAAGTTAAGGCGAAACGTGTAAAGCTATTTTGGTTTTCCCAATGTTTATAATGCGTCTTTTATGAAATTCATATTTATAGGATCAAAATTCATTTCACATTCTCACTTACCGGGTCAGCCCCGTTGCATTTTTAGGATTTAAGCCTGTTTTTCACTAAACCGTATCGTAACGTAACGTAGCATTTTCTTTTGTGTCGAAGTCATTAGTTCTACACTACTGCTCAGGGAACAAAGAAATACGCTACGTTTCGGTACGATACGATTGAAGTGGAAACTGGCTTTAGAAGAGATTATTTGAATACTATAATACGGGATTTTTTTAATTTGGCAAAGATTTTGGGATTTAAGGGTAATAGGATATTTTTGACAAGATTTTCTGATGTTTATTATTATGTGTACACCGATTTCTCGAGTAATGTATCTCGCTGAGTTCTCTGACCGTAACATATTTGATATTTCTTAAATAATGATATACTGGCAAACGCAGGGATTATTCACTATATATAGTCTTCAAAATCTTCAAGAACGAACTTTCTCTAAGCCTCATGTTTATAATATATTTTGTGTTCAATGTTATTACATCAACAAACGAGATAAGATTACAATTTGAATTTAGATTAAATTCAAATTGTAATCTTATCTACGTGAAGATGTAGTAAACCTAACAATATCACGTACAATAACTTGTTTAATACAATTTCACGCGAAGAATTTCGCCGTCGTGGGATCAAGCTTTTCTTGCGAAATTTTTCGCGTTTCGCCAAGAAAAAGCGCTCATGGGATTCGGCCTGAACAAGCCTTGTTTTTGCAGGCCTTCGATATTCTCTGTTCGTCTTTTCCGTTTCAATGAGATCGCCGGCCTGCCATGCAGTATGCATAACGAGTCTGAGAGTCTTATTAATTAAACTGTAAATTGTCAAATAGCATGGAAATGTTTGTTATTAAAACTGTATTAAAAGTTGACGTTTGCAACGTTTATTCTTTTAAGATTTTTTATTACCCATCGAGCTACAATAGGCCCAAATGCGGCCTACTTCATTATTTTCAATTTTGCTCTGCGAAAGCCTGATTATTTTGCTCTGTTTAGCCCAGATGATTTTACTCGTCATGGGGCTATTCTTGGAGTTAAAATTATTGGGGGCTAATATTCGAAGTTACAGTTGTTGAGTAAAATACTCAGTGGTTCCCGTAAGTATTGTTGCTCAAACCGTTAGTTTGACTTTTTAACGGCGCCAAGGTTTTTTCGATACAATTTTGCGAAGGAAAAGTTGCTAATAATCCTAATTAATATTGATCCTCGAATTACCTTGGCATAATTACGTTTGGAAAACGAACCGGGCTTGAAAATCTTGATAAATTATAGTTGTAATTTATTTGTAATGTTTTTGTTCTTTATATAGCCATAACAGACGAGGACGTTGTGACAGAGACTAAAGTGGTTCCCTTCTCTCAAGATCCCACTGAGCAAGGGGAGTTTGCCAACAGCAGAGAAATTTCAGAAAAGAAACCTGTTGAAAAGTATTTGGCAGAGGATTCAGAAACAGAGCAATGTGAAGATGAAGTCCTTGCACCAAATTGTACGGATGAAGTGAACATGAGAGACTTGGAAATAGAACAAAAGGGGAAACAAACACTATCTTCGTCAAGCGAAAATGACCGTACTATAGAACAGGACAGTATAAAAGAAGACAGTCCGTCGAATAATTCCAGTGTAAATCATGGATGGCATGAGGTGTTTTCCGAAACAAACCTTACGGATCATAAGGAGGTAGTAGATCGATTGAAACAGAAAAGACGTGATACTGCCATGAGGGACGATGCTGTGGACAGACCTTTATTAGGTTTCCATGTAAGCAATGTAGCTGAATTCCTCGACAGTAACGACGAAACGTATGAGGAGATACCGCTATCAGATGAAGAAATACCATCTAACAAAGCTGGTGGAATGACTAAAGGAGCTAAGAAAGATAAAAATCCAACGACTGAGGGAAAATGTGATGATGGCAGCAGTGATTGTCAGTCAATACGTACCGTGTCTGAATATGTCGACAGTAATGATGAGACGTTCATAGATATACCACTTTCTGAAAAAGAAATAGGAAGGACACTGGGTGTCGATGAAGTTCAGAAAGAAGAACACATAGATGATGAGTGGAAAATGGAAAGTTATACAGATCCAAGTAGAGAAATCAATACTGGAAGAAAAAGAGAGAGAATTACTGATTTGCGTGAACTAATTAAGGAAAAGAAACGAAAGTTTGCATCTGAGGATTCAGAAAAGCGCGCTACTTCTCGAAACCGTCGCCGAGTAGTGGAAATAGTAAAACATAAATCTGTTGTTCCTGACGATTCGACTTCGAAAAGAAGTGAAATAGCTGATGAAACGTCACGAAACGTGGCATCTCCTGTTCCTGATAGTGAAGTTGTTATTCCAGATCTCGTTAAGGTTGTTTTGGAGAACAGACGTAAGATGACCTCGCCTGATTCAGGAAGTTGTTTCTCTACTCCTGATCATACTGAAACACTCGATGAAATGAGACGGAAAATTTCTTCTCCCGATTTCGACAAAGAACGGAGATCTGCCTCTCCAGAGTCTGAAAGCCGTACTAGTACTCCCGACTGGAACCCCAATGAACACCGTAGGCTGTATAACAGGCGACGGGCTGGAAGCAGTGACAGTTCTCGTGCTGAAAGTAGTGCGGGCTCGCGTCCTGGAAGCAGTGCAAGCTCACGACATGGAAGCAATGCAGTTTCGCGCCCAGGGAGCAGTGCGAGTCTACGAACTGGAAGCAATGTAAGTCTACGGTCCGAGAGCAGTACTAAACGATTTCCTCCACCTAAAAGGGCTCGAGTGGAAAAGGACACTCCTGACAAGACACGTGAGCAAGCACGCTCTCGGAGTGGTCGTGTTTTGGATATAAATTACCCAAAAAACCTGTCTGATCGTTGGTTAGATGAAGATTACCCTACAAACTTATCTGATCGTGGATTAGGTGAAGGTTGTTACCCATCAAACTTGCCTTTGGGGTTAGATGAAGATTACTCTAGATCGTCCCCTGTAGGTTCAAGACGTGAGCGTCAAAGATCAGTATCTCCCAGTGTCAGTAAAAGCCATTACAGCTATGTCTCTGAGCGAGACAATCTAACACCCCCTCTACGTCTCTCCCCTGCGAGAGAAAGTAGATATCGATCTAGATATAGCATAAAACGTTACGATGCAAGAAGTAGTAGCAATGACAGTGGTAGTTCTAGAGCAAGGCATCATGATAGGAATAATAATAATTGGTCCAGGCATGATGAGAGACCTGACATGGATCAAACAACGAAAAGCCAAATTGATTTTTCTGATGAAACATTCCTGTCAAGTAAGTTAAAATCTTTGATTAATAATATTCTTCTAATAGAAATTATACTACTTTGAAGCGTTTTGACCCGAAGGGAGATGCTTTGTGCAAGTAATTTTAGTGTTTTATCAGCAGATGGCATGGGAGTTGTACTCTATAGTTGATACTCTTGCATGTTTGATAACTATGCTTCGGTCTTGTGGGGGAGAACATAATACAGCAAAATGTCCATAAATCTGTAAAATTTGAAGAATGTTCTAAAATCGCAAATATTCGAAATCCTAAAAAGTTGTTTTAATTACTCCTTCAAATTCGAAACTACCCTACGATCCCTGGAGTAATACCTTCCTTGGACAAGCTCATCAAAAAATGGCTACGAACAAATGTATAAGTATGGGCTTGTATATTAGAAGATTTACCGGTTTACGGACGTTTACTTATTCTTTGATGAACTTGTTGTTCTCCATGTAATGAAATGATGGAGGACACTCAAAATGGCGAAAACACTTTTGACTCCGACAACTTTCACGATTTGAAAGTTGTCGGGTAAAAAGCCAGCGAAGATTTCGCCCAATGCTTTAAAAGGGTAAGAGCAACAATGAAATTCAAGTCTGTTTGGAGAGAAAGAACTCGTTAAACTGTGAAATAAGTTTTTGTACAACTTTTCTTTACCTCTTGTCATTCTTGAGATATTTTAGTTTGTTGGTACACAAGCTGGTAAATATTCACGCCAAAGTCATAAAAGCTCACTGTTCAAAATGGATCAAATTCGGATCTATCGATTATTCAATTGGCTAATCAATAGCAAACAATTAAAAAGTTTTACTCTAATCAAAACAACATTTATTTGTGACTAGCTATAAGTTTGCCCCAAGAGCTATAGTGAGCCCATCTAGGAGGCTTACGTTTAAAACAACATAAAACGTGTGATTGAGCCACGGACAAGTGGTCAGCCCGTTATATAAATCAGGGTGACACTAAGAATGTCAAATCTCTAAATATCACTCATTCAAATATCACAAATCTTATTCTAGGATTGTTAAGGCCTGACGTAATTGAACATTTGCAAGGGTATGTTCACAACAATCTTCAACGCACTTTGGATGAATATCCCGAATGTTTGGACGAGCCAGGTATTATAATAAGTTGTAATCTAGTACAACTTCATTTCTTAATCAATGTCTAATGAGGTCTTGTATTCACGTATCTTGTATCCGCAAGGTTCAAGTCCGATACAGTCATGATATAACAATATTGTTACAACCTTGCGTCGTCAACTATGTAACTTTCTTGTTATATCATGACTGTATCATACTTGTTAGAACAACCTTGTAACAAGTCTGATCAACAGATCAAGCTTGTTACAAGTTTTAACAGCTTGTTTCAAACTTGTTACAACAACTAGGAACAAGCAGTGCGAACAACTTGTCGACACATATTTGTAACAACTTGTTTGCAGACCTGTAACAACTTATGCGTTTTTATGTGTGCAGTTGTCTTCGACATTTAGACGCGGTCCCTATAAGGCTAACGTGCATTACACTGTACCCGATAGCTGTCCGTAGCGACGTGAAAAAACACCTGTCCGTACCTTTTAGGAACGCTATTTTCAGAGAAATTATTGTAACGGAAGATGTTGTTTCGCTCAGCTTCTGAAAGCTGTACATTCTGTATCGGATAGCTGCTTTTTTTTCGCGCCACTATGGAAAGCCATCCGGTATAGTGTAAACACGGCCTAATTCAATATCAGAAACGCCAACAACTGAACAAAGCCCGGCTATTTGTAGAATAACAAGTCGTTATAATGTAAAACTATATATTTAATCGATTCGTTAAATAGAGAATAATACATGGGTGCGCGGAAATACCAGATTTATTTCGAGTGTTGAACATGATATCTCACGAGTGAGCGCAGCGAACGAGTGAGATATCATGTTCAACACGAGAAATAAATCTGGTATTTCCAAGCACCCATGTATTTTTCTGTTTATTATATAAATGACAGTCTTTGAAAAGCGATAATTTTTACAGAAAAGCGATAATTGAAAAGCGATAATTTTCACATGTGAGATTATCATGAATAATCTCACATGTGAGATTATCACTTTTATCAGTGCTCGAAATCTCTATAAAGCACTATACTTTATCTAATAAATAGAAATAAAGTTCATTTACCTTTATTACAAGATGTACTTTTTGTTCACTTTGAGACGTATGCTTGGAGACATTGTGCTCACTTTGTGACACTCTGTGTCTTATGCCTGCCTGGAGGTATTGAACGAAAACATGCTCGCGTAAAGGTATAAATACACCTTGTAGTAGAGGTAAATGAATTTTGTTTCTCAATTTAAATTAAGACAATACTCTAGCAATTATTTAGCAACTATATTTGACGAATCGATTATGTAGTAAGTATATATATATTTTAACACGAACGGTTTCTGCCAGCGTAGATAGTAACAAACCCCAGAGAATTAGAGAGACATTCTTTCAGATGGATTTAACTACCTGAAAAATACAAGCAAAACTTCGACATTTCGAGCGAAGGCGCTTCGACGAAGGGTCGTTTTATTTTTCAGGCAGTTGAATCCATATCCATCTGCATTTCTTTAATAATTCTATAAATAGCCGCAACCACTAATTCTCTTATTGAATTAGTGGTTGCACCTAAATGTCAAAAACAATTCGACTAGAAATTCTGTTCAGCAGACCGCTCTGCAGAGCAGACCGGAAAGAGTTTCTGGTCTTTACTTCTTTATAATTCTTTCCAAATATTCGTTTATTATTTGTATTCTCAACCAATTCAGCAGTATTGTTTTGCGAATAGTCTTATCGTATTTTTTAGTTGAGAAAAAGAAGCCCTTCTTTGGTGGTATTGGGTATGTATTTAGAAAGCTATATAAAGGCCCATTTACACGATACGATTAGTTGTATATACGATTGTCATTCTGACGAATGAAAACGAGTGCTAATGCCACGTTATTGCTCATTCGCTAATGGCGAAATTTGAAATGTGACGTTTGTACGCGTGTTTATTCGATCACATACGCCAGGGTACGAATCGTATACAACTAATCGTACCGTGTAAATGGGCCTTAAGAGTTTAATCTGAGTAAAATTACGAGTACAAGATTCTCCGTTTTCGCGCCAGTCACGCCATTCTTATGACTTGACATTACTGCATGTTCAATACAATCACAAAGCCGTCAGATAGATACTCCTCTGCCATCAACGTGCAAGTATACAAGTATATTCTTACATGCAAGTCTATTCCTCACGTTTCAGGAGAGCTATTAGAGATCTTACGATTTTAGGACGGCAACGCGACGGCGACGGCCAAAACAAACTCCTTCAAATAAATGGTATAGTAAAGATAGTTCGTCGTATATTATCAATCGTATAAATTTAATACAGTTTTAGAAGTTGAAGACCTGGGTTTTATGGTTGGGAAGAGTTCTGATAAACCCAGTTTGAGGTTGTACTTGTTGTGGCTTGGAATGCAGCCGTTGTATCAAGACGTGAAAATCTGTGATTTAGCGTCGTAAACAGAGCGAGGACAATGTCTAAATTATTCATATATTGTAATTACTCAATTCTTTTCAATGATCTATTGTATTGGTAGCCATTGCCGTCCTAAAATCGTAAGGTCTCTAATAAGTCTATGACGAATGTCCTGCAGTAGAAACGTCTGGATCCTATCCTTCAATACATTTTCTCGTTTTTCCCAAACCTTCGATGAGAAGGCAAGCTGTGCACCCCCCAAAAGACGGCCATGGGGGGAAAGTTGCAAATGCCTTTAACACTGCCTGTATTTTAACTTTTTGCGGTGTCCGTTGGTTCATTGCACTTGATTGCACACCTATATAACCGTGATTTTTTTATACATTTGAAGGGAAATTATCTACGCCCAAAGGGATGAAGAGGAATCTCGCTATGCGGAGGTAAAGGCAACGTGTTTAAATTTTCTTATAAGCATCTTTGTCTAGCAATTCCGATAATATCACAGAATGGGCTTGCAAAGTTATTTTATCTAATCGCTCTGTCCAAATTTGTTCTTTATGACCTGGATAAAAGTATTTGAAAGAGGTTGACGATTTCAGATGCTCAAATCATGAAACCGTACATTATTTTTACCAAAGAACATTTGATGTTTAAACCAGTCTTTTAGCAGCCCAATTTCCACTAAGCTAGTATTGTAGCTAGTGTGGTAGCTAGTGTGGTAGCTATAGTATGGTAGCTATAGTATGGTAGCTAGTATGGTATAGCTAGTGTGGTAGCTAGTTGTGGTAGCTAGTGTGGTAGCTAGTATGGTATAGCTAGTGTGGTATAGCTAGTGTGGTATAGCTAGTGTGGTATAGCTAGTGTGGTATAGCTAGTGTGGTATAGCTAGTGTGGTATAGCTAGTGTGGTATAGCTAGTGTGGTATAGCTAGTATGGTAGCTAGTGTGGTATAGCTAGTGTGGTATAGCTACAATCAGTTTCAAATGTCTTGGGACAGATGCCACAAAACCTTTGAATTTCAACAAACGACAATCCCCCCGCCCCCTGTTCAATGTTGTGTCCCATTTCTCGTCGGGTTTGATGTGTTTTGGTTTAAACAACATTGATTGGGGTGGGGGAGGGGGAGGGGAGCGGTATTGTGTGTAAAAAAAGATAATGATCCACTTACAAGCTAAAACTACATGTGTCCCAACAACTTCTGAAAGTGATTGTATGGGCCCCATATGCCATAACATCATTGTGCATCTCAAAAGTACAGGGAATAGAATGCTCTGCGAACGAAGTATTTCAGCTCCATTTCGTTCACAGAATATCTAATGACATTATAGAACAATTAAGTTTCATTAAAATTCTCAAAGTTAATAATTAACAGAATATGAATATAATTTGTTATGTCATATTGCATTCTCAATCACAAAGGTTTTATACGTTGTTTGTTTCTACAAATTTTGGCAGAGCACAAGTAGATTATTTGAGAGGTTATAGTCCGTCAATAAAGATAGGTATCGCAAATGTTATACGCTAGATATGTCACACATACTGTTAATTTATAGCATAGTAATATAACATCCAGTTACATTCGCATGCGGGTAAGGCCTGAGTCAACTGCTAATTCGGGTACTCCGAAGGTAAAGAACGTTTGATTTTTATCACCAATAGTGAATGTGACATTTCACATCTTTCTAGAGCAGAATTTGCAGATATAATTGTCGACGCATGGGTACGAAGGAGCACTCAGTGGGTGGGAATTTCGGAGGCTAATGGAAAGGGCGGTATCATATAGTATAAATAGTCACTTCCACATGGCTAAAAAATTGTCCGCAAGATCAAGTTGGCGAGCTATCAGAAAGCTCGAGAAGAGTAAATTCGGCATTTAATTGAACTCAGTCAGACAATCCCAAAAAATTACTATTCAGCGTATTCATACGTGGTAAAAAATGACCCGGACTTCGTGATTTCTCCAGGGCTTATAGACCTCCCTAATGCTGACGCGTTAGCAAGTACTAGCGCGCGCGACCCGCCGAAGCAAGAAAGTTGCACCGGCTTCCAAAAATATGTAACGAAAGGGACTCGCTGTGTACGGCGTTGTACGCATTATACAACACAAAGTTAGTGTTATACGCTAATTATGCTAATAAGCGTTTCCGGTCCAGACGAATGCAATGAACCTAACATCG